TGATAAGCTGTCGGTCATAACATCTAGAAAGTCCTGTAGTAATGGTTGTAGTAGTGCTGGTACCTCTCTTTCCTCCTCGCTTCCTTCTAGGAGGCCTAATGTTAGTGTTACGAGGGCATCTCTAATTGACTACAGAAAAGTGGTCTGGGGAACCAATGTTGCCTATATATCTTTCTTGCCTTTCGTATCTTTAGTAGGCAGCAAAATTATATGTTTCTCATCCTTCTTGAAAGAATAAGTGTTCTTGAAACTGTCATGCTAAGTCTTACGATCGAATTGTTAAGGTATTCCCAACATAATGTGGAATGCGTTCTTGGGAACCACATCACATTTCCTATAGCTTTTCTCTGATTCAGAAATCAACAAGGCATTGCTGATCTGCATGTATCTCATTTCCCATCTTCAGCAAGGTAAGAGAATATGATTGGGGATGTTTTTGTGTGTCGATGATCTGGCTACAGACCATCCCCTTGACTGTGCACTTGATACGAAAAATGCTATGCCTTATCCAGGATTGGTCCCGTTCTGGCTCGGGCTGTAGTATTCGTCGAACGGCTAATGCTTTTCCCTTGTCTCAGTAGAGCTGAAGGTCTTCTTTTGGACACTCTGACTTCTCATCGATTTTCTCGACGACGCCATGATCTGTGAGTGTGACGACTTGGTTTATTGAGCAGCTGGAGGCTATGTGTCAGTAGTTGTGACACCTAAATCACTTCCTGGCTGACACTGTATTGGAGGAACCAACTTTCTCTTGATTCTTCTCACTCTTATTTGCCTTATCAGTTCCCTGTCTAATTCTGTTATTTCCTCTCGAGATACCATGGTCGGCTATAGAAGTTGCAGGTGACTGCTTGGCTGAAGATGGTGGTCTAAAGGATGACACTTGCCTACTTTGCTTCTGCTGCCTCTCCACCTTCAAGGCTAGTGTCTGGACATTCCCCAACATCCAGTATGGTTGTAGTTGTACCACATTGGTAATGACAAGCTTTAGATTCCCAAGGTATCTGGCTATTGTGTGCTCGTTTGGCTCTGTCAGCTCGCACTTTAGCTGCAAGTGGTTGAACTGAGTGTGAACTTCTCAACTGAAAAATCTCGTTGCTGCAAATTGTGGAGTTTTAGGAGCATGTCCTGACAATACTGTGGTGGGAGGTATTTCTTTTGCTTTGCGTTCTTCATCTTCTCCCACTTATTTATCTTCTTATTTTTTTTTTCCAAGCCTTTATAGATTTTCCCACCATAAAGAGACATTCTTATTTAGTTTAGTTGCAACTAGCTTTACTCTTTTGTCCTCTGGTATGTCTTTATACTTGATCCGTTCGAATAGTTGTAGTCATTCTATAAACTCATCGAAGCCCATGCCTCACACAAATTTCGGGAGGTCTATTTTGATGCCAAAGTCCTGCTGACCTCCATGCAGGGTCTCTTCTCTCAGTCTTCTTTGATATTGGATACCAAAACGACGTGGTCGATGTTTCTCGTCACTGTGATATTCCCTGTGGAACAAATTCATCTTCTCGTCCTCGTCTTCTCTTTGCCTCATCCGATCTCGGTCAAAGGTAACATCTTCCTGGGTTTTATCATCTAGCTCTGCTAGTCTTCGTTGCAGATGATAATTCTCGTTGAATCTTTTCCTGGGTCGAGTTCCATGTATCCCTCCACTGTTAGAGCTGAGAATCAGGAAAAAATTTTTTTGATGGTGGTGGATTGGGTAGGGTTGGATGCTAGGAAACTCTAGGATGAGACTAGAGTTGGGCTAGCTTTGATACCAAATGATACCAGAACTAGTTATGATGTAACATAACACAAAAACAATAGGGTTACAACATGACTCAAACAGAAAGGAAATACAATAATGTACTACTCTCCGGTTAGGCTTTAGGAAAAGTTCTGAAGGCAGTGGTGGCGTTGTCGGGGTGGGAGGGAAAGGTGGGGGAGGCCGGGGGGTTGGTTGGGGGGGTGGTGTTTGGTTGATTAAAGGTAAGCTGGACAACAAGGTTGTGGAGGGAGTAGAGGTGGTGTTAGAGTGGTGGAGGGACACGGGGTGGTCGGCGGCTAGGGGAGAAATAGAGAAGGAGATTGGAAGGATGCAACATCACCTCAGAGCGGGATACAACTAGAGCACCACCTATCGTCAGATACAATCCTAGCAAGAGGAAAAATGACTCCATGCAAGAGATCTGAAGACTGCACAACTAAACTTGACTCTTACATACCAAAACAACAATTTATAGGCTCTCTGTTGTGGAAAAATAGGAAAGAAATAAAAAGGAAAACTCCCACACATAAAGAAGGGGTGGGGAAGGCAAGAAGAATGCAAAAAATGCTTCCTGGGTGCGGTAGCCTTGCGATGCTCCTTCCTGGATCGCGATAGCTTGCGATCCTGTCCCTGCTTTCGCGCCTCTTGCTTTCTTCGCTAGACTTCTTCAGCGTGTTGGCCCTCCGGGGCTTTCAATGCCTGTATTTGGGTGGTTTTAGCGCCTGTAACCGGTTGCTGTTTTAGCTCTCCTATCCAGGGAAAATATTTGAGTAGGTAAGACGCACGCAGCGCTGCGTATGTCGGGAGGTTATTCAGAGGGTACAGGGGGTTATATCCACATTATACCCCCTGTAACCTCCTTGTAACCTACCTGTAACCTACAAATATGTTCCGCATTTCTGTAGTTCCAGTAGGTACAGGTAAGTTACAGGGAGTTTACAGGGGGTATAATGCGGATATAACCCCCCTGTACCCTCTGAATAACCTCCGACGTACGCAGCGCTGCTAACTAAACTTACGACTTTCGTACACAAATATTTTCCCCTATCCGTGCTTTGTTTTAGTGCCCGCATCAGCATAACATCATGCATGCTAAGTCATATTTTTTTATAACGCAAGTCTCAAAAACAGCAGTTGATCGTTTTGTCATTTTCTTGTAAGTTACCATTTTTATTTATGCTGCAAAGTAGTTATCATTTTGTCTATCTTTTTTTTAGCTATTTCTTTTTGCCAATGTATGTTCGGTTTAATTTGTTTGTTTTTATTTGCCAGTATATTGCTCATGTAACATTATGTCTAATCGGTTATACTTTCTTCTTTATACAACAAGTCTTTCAAAAAGTAGTATATAGTTTGCTAATTTTTACTAAACTTCTTTCCGAACTGATCTCAGTGTAAAGTTTTTCTTCTTTTCTTTACTAATACTGATTTGCATATAGAATTTTTAAAAAAATATTTACTGTTGGATAAAAATAACTTACGAAATTATTGGGATAAGGCTAATAATGAAAATAATTATTTCATTAAAAAATTACTTTACCACATTAGGCAAAAAAAAATGCTGCTTTATTCTACCTAAGAAAAGTGGAGCCCAATTCTAATTTTCATGTGGATCGTTTTGAGAGTATACCACTACTTAACAGAAAGTTATTCATAGAAATGAATTTAACAGAAATGTAAACATTGTAAAAAGAAGAAGGATCTCCGTGAAAACCTAAAATTTAACTCAAGGACCAACTTGTAAATAAAATTGTGCCCTAAATAGAAAATGTGGGTCAACTTGAAACTGGTCTTAATGAATTGCCTCTAATTTAACTTTTTATTTCTTGTTGCAAGCTTGTTTTGCCTGTCAGTTTAATCGTTTCCTAGCAATTTCTTTCACCAATATAAGTTCAGTTTGATTTGTTTCTTCATTTTGTATTAAGAGTGAACGTTATAGATTTCTTGTGATGGTAATATAAGTGGGGATGTTATTAGCAGAATTCAAGTTGGATGGTTGAAGTCGAGGAATGCATCAGACCTATTATGTTATAGAAAAATACTGCTTAGAGTGGAGAAAAATTTAGAAGATGGTGGTGAGAAGTGCAATGCTTTATGGCAAAGAATGTTGGCCTGTAAAAATTAAACTGAAAAGAGAATACTCAGGTGGATGAGTGGCTTCACACTTAGAGACAAAATGCGAAATGAATACATACGTCAAAGGGTTGGAGTGGCTCCAGTGGTAGACAAGCTTAGAGTCATCTTTAGATGGTTTGGTCACATTAAACGTCGACCATATGATGACCCAGTTAGAAGAGCAAATGTTTTAGATTTGACTTATGTTAAGAAAGCTAGCAGTAGACCTAAAAGGCTTGGCATGCTGTATAAAAAATGTTCTTAATTTTTTATTAAATGAACATATGACACTCAATAAGACATATGGAGAAAAAAAATTCCGGTGGCCGGCCTCACTTAGTGGGATAAAGGCTTGTTGTTGTTGTTTTGTGTTAGGTTGTTTTAATATGGTATTATGTATGTTGGTTCATACTTTATGCAAAAAGTCTCTTAAGTAGTTGATATTTTCTGCTGAGCTTTGTTTCTAACTGATTTCAGTTCATGACTTTAGTAATGATACCGATTTACATATGGATTTTTTTTTCTTAAATTAATTATCAAATTATGGGGATAAGGCTAATAATGAACTTAATGATTGTATTAAAAAAGTACATTAGCAAATAACGCACAAAGTGCTGCTTCCATTATAGGGATGTAATTTGTACATCATGAGGTTAATCTTACATTGTTTTTTTTTTCTTTTACTGAAGGTTAACATGCATACCGCTCAATTCTTATGGATTTATATATCTAACACCTAAGCTTTTATTTTTACGTACATACCATCATACCTATACATGAAAAGGTGCATTTTTACTTTTTTAAATGTTAAAATGGTGGTATTTTTGATGTGATATGAAAGATTTGGGTTGTATAAATTAAAAAAAAAAACAGAGTTTAGGTGTATGTAAATACATAGGAATTGGGTTTTATATGTGTAAAAGCCCCTTTTTTTTCATGGTTATGAATTGGCTGCTCTTCTTTTGGGTGAACTTGTAGTTTTCCTCATGACCTCTCAGTGCAATTTTGGATTGAGGTTTCCTTATGTGCTCTCAGTGTAATTGTGGATTATGGTTTTTTATTCTTCTATTTGGAGAAAAGCAAATCCCTTCTTTTATTCAGGTATTTATTAGTTCATTTTATGTTATAGGTTCATGAAGATGGGATGCTCTCACTAAAGCATACCCTAACTGGCCATCAAAAACCTGTGCTGATGATTTCATGGAGCCCAGACGATAATCAGCTCCTAACATGTGGATTCGAAGAAGTTGTGCGGCGGTGGGATGTTAGCAGTGGAGAGTGCGTGCATGTTTATGAGAAGATAGGCGTCGGATTGATTTCTTGTGGTTGGTTTCCCGATGGGCGACGATTCTTCTCCGGCGTGACGGATCGTAGCATCTGCCTGTGGGATCTCGATGGCAAAGAGCTTGAATATTGGAAAGGACAAAGGATGATCAAGACGTCCGACCTCACTATTACTGGAGATGGCCGGCAGATCATAAGCATGTGCAGAGAATCGGCCATTCTGGTGCTCGATCGAGAGGCGGGAACGGAGAAATTGATCGAAGAAAATCACACGATAACGTCGTTTTCTTTATCCAGAGATGATAGGTTCTTGCTGGTGAATCTTATAAACCAGGAAATACATCTGTGGGATATTGCCAGTTTTCCAAGATTAGTTACCAGTTATAAAGGCCACAAGCGCAGCCGATTTGTTATACGCTCGTGCTTTGGAGGATATGAACAATCTTATATTGCGAGTGGAAGCGAAGATTCACAGGTGTGTGTTTTCGTTATCATCTTTAATGTTTTAGCTGAAATGATACCTTAAAATTATATAAGATGTCATTTAAATCAGGTTTAGCTGGCTTGTTGAATGAGTTTTCTTACCAATAAATATTCTTAGGGTTTAAAATTCCAAATGATTCTAGGATTATTTGTACATGTGGCCAGCTGAGTCATAATAGTGTGTCACATTTTTCTTGTTGTGCCTGTTGACTATGCAAAACTGATAAAAAATAATCCTTGATGAACTAGATTAAGATCAAGTTTGTATAGTCAACAACAAATCATTATCCCACTAATCAGGGTTGGCTGCATGGATCATTTTTCTCCATTGTATCCTGTTGAGTGTCATATTTTCATCCAATTTTAATAAATTAAGATCACTTTAATACAATATGTCTAGGTCTTTCTAGGTCTAACTCTACCTTTCTTAACATAAGTTAAATTTAAAGTATCTACTCTCTTTATTGGGTCATTAGATGGTCAATGTTTAATGCTTTATGGCGCAGAATGTTGGGCTGCAAAAGAGAAGCATAAAATTAAGTGTTGTCGAGATGAGAATGTTCACGTGGATCAATGGTTTTATACTTGGAGATAAAATGTGAAATGAATAGATTTGTGGAAGGGTTGGACTAGCTTCAGTGGCAGACAAAATTATATAGAGTCGTTTTAGATGATTTGTTCACATTAAATGTCGACCATCTGATGATGACCCTGTTAGGAAAGTAGATGTTTTAGATTTGACTTATGTAAGCAAGGCTGATGTAGAATTAAAAAGGCTTGAGCATTTTGTATAAAAATGATCCTAATTTATTAGAATTCAATGAAAACATGACTCTCAACAGTACACAATAGAGAGAAAAGATTCATGTAGCCGATCCCACTTAGTGGGATAAAGGCTTGTTGCTGTACCATAAAACCCCTAAATTGTACAATTGTGATAGTTTGAAATAGTCAGGTGATTGTTTTGAGATTTAATCTCTGGAACAATTGTTTGAAATTTAATCTTGGGCAATTTAATTGCTGTTTAATTACTAAATCCTTCCTGTTAAGGATCCAGTAAGAGGATAATGCTGTAGATTTTGTCCTTCTAACATTACATCAAACAAATATTTCTGTAGTTTTAGCATTATCAAACATCAACATAGCTGTTCTTGCCTCAGTTTTTTTTTTCTTACTACTCTATTTGTTATTCTTTCTGAATCTGACAATAATTTTATTTGCTCATTACGTTCAACAAATCCTCACTCAAATCCGTGAACTGCTTTTCAATAATGTTCCTAACTTTAATTTGTCTTTCAGTAACCCCATACATTTTTATGCATATGCTTTGGAAAATTTAGATACATTATAGATATCATTTAATTTCTACGCATTTATGTATCTAACCCCTAAACTTTAATATTTACACTCACAGACAGATAGATAGATAGATAGCATATGTCACCTTACCTATGCATGAAAATATGAATTTTACTTTTTTTAAGTTAAAATAGTGATTTTTTTGATGTGATATGAAACATTTGAGTGTTATAAATGTAAGAACTAAAGTTTAGGTGTTGGATATTTAAATAAATAGGAATCGGGCTTGTTATGTATGTAAATGCCGCTGTTTTCAAAAATTTACATATATCAACGATTGCAGGTATACATATGGCATCGCGGCAGCAGCAACCTCATCGCCACTCTCCCCGGACACACCGGAGCCGTGAACTGTGTGAGCTGGAATCCTGTAAACCCTAAAATGCTTGCGTCTGCCAGCGACGATCACAGCATCAGAATATGGGGAGTAAGTTTGGCCAATCCAAATCCCAGCGAAGCACACAGCAATGGAGTCATCCACTGTAATGGAACCAATAAATCACAATGAATCCCTTTAGGTATCTGAATTCCATTGTTTAGTTTAATTACTGACTCAAATTCTTTAAGAATGTTCATCATATTATAAGAAGATGAAGAAGGGGGAGGAGGAGGAGGAGGAGGAGGAGGATTCTGTAAAGATTTTTATTTTCTGACTGTCTAATGGCGACTGCCTGGCCTTGTTTTAGTGCGTGCTTGAATTGGAAGGCTTGCAGTTGCTTCCTCAACTTTCATTATTTTGTGTTTTACTGTTTGGGCACAACAGTAAGGTCTTAATATTGATTAGGATTTAGAAATTTTTTTAGGGGGATTTGCATGCATATTAGACAATTTTTATGCATTTACATATATATACTTATATGTTAATATTTTTTTACATAATATAAATTTTTAACGTCTCATAAAATTATAATTGACATTTAACTTTTTTTTTAAAAATAACGCTTTATGCATATGTTTTGATGTAATTATGATATTTATGTGTTATATATATATATATTCCTATTTTGGGCCATTGCATGGAATTTATGGGTTTGCTGGATGTCTTCCGTTCAAATTATAGTTTATAAAAATATAGAGTATTTTAATTCATCTGAAAGAGATATTAGAACATTTAGCAAGTACTAATTTTGACACAATATTTTGCTCTGAGTTGTGAGAATCAAGCTCGAAGAAGCTCACTCATAACCAGCATTCTAGCCTTTGAATAAGGTTCAATAATCACACATGATTTTGTGGGTTTGTGGATAGTTTTAACCCTAGTTTGAAGTTCTTCAAGGTCTCGTTTGAGAATGCGATGAAGTTCCATTAACTGTAGTGAATGCATGTAGATTTATTTTCGTTTGGTAAAACATCTTGTCCCGAAGTTGTTTTAACAGAAGAATGAATTTTTTTTCATTTTGGATGGCAGAGGACAACGTCTGTTCAGCAAACGTTACTCTTAAAGGAATTTTGCTGAAGGACGAAGTTCTTTCAAACGAGCCTTAAGTTGCTTGATTGATATATTGTCTTTATTGAGTTAGCTTGGACTAATCTATTAAGGTCATGGTCATCCTTGTGAGTTGCTATAGACAAGAATCTATTACTCTTTTGGGATGCAACCATGGATGACAAGGGCGGCATCAAATTGGAAATAAATTTGTAGGAATATTTCGAAAAAAAAATGTAGGACCTCAAAAGTAGGAAATCAATTTATTTTAGAGTTTAAGTTGGTAAAACAAATTTAAATATAGAAGTAAATAATAGTGATATAATTAGTAACACTAATTTAATTTAATTTATTTTTTTATCATTTCTAATTATTTTAATGATCAATTAATTATTTACTAATTCATCAATATTAAGAATTTTAATAAACTAATTAATCATCAAGTATTATTTTAATATTCATTAACTAGATATTAATTATTTATTTATTAAGCCAGTTTATTAGTGATCAAATTTCTATTAAACAAATTAAACATTAAATCATTATTTTAATTTTCATTAATTAATCATAAATCAATCATTTATCAATTCTACATCAATTATAACAATTTAATTGCGTTATAATTAGCTTAAAAAACCAACATATGAATCAATCATTAATTCATAATCAACTAAATGTATCAAAATTAAATTCATTTTCATTTACACATTAACATTAACTAAATAAATTCAATATCATATTAATTAATCATTAATTTAAAATCAACCCCTTAGTCGTCCCAATCTACCCTCCTCGCCGCCAACCTCTAACCTCCGCTGGTTTCTTTATCCCTCCGGCCGATCATGGCTTCTATTTGCTCTAAACCGCTGCTTTTCAAAACCCTAAGCTCCGTTCCATCACGACTAAGCTCTCGGCAGAAGCCCGCAAGCCTCCGCTGCTCCGCCGCCCGGCCACCGCATCCCCGAAGCTATAGCATCACTCTCCTTCCCGGCGATGGAATCGGACCAGAGATCGTTTCCATTGCCAAAGAGATCCTTGCTGTGGCTGGAGCTCATGAAGGCTTGTTCATTTTCCTTAGAATGTTAGAAGTTTTGTTCTCGAGTATGCTAGCTCATTTGTTTGTTTGTTTTTTTTGTCCTGCAGGAATCGAGTTTAGTTTCAACGAGATGCTGATGGGCGGAGCGGCGATTGATGCTGTTGGTGTACCGTTGCCGGAGGAGACTTTGGCTGCCGCTAAGCATTCGGATGCTGTTCTTTTGGGAGCTATAGGGGGGTTCGTGTTCCATTTACTAGGTTCAAATTTATGTTGTAATTTTCTGTTATATGCACTGGTTTGAGGTTGAGTTTTTGTTTTCTAGGTATAAGTGGGATGGGAATGAGAAGTCGCAGAAACCTGAGACAGGGCTTCTTCAGCTCAGGGCTGGGTTAGGCGTATTTGCAAACTTGAGGCCAGTTTCCTTATTGCCACAGGTACTCTATGATGAATAATTTTTATCTCTTGTTATATAATTTGATGTTGAGTTCTAGAGTTTTGAAAATTTTATTTGGAGTAGTTTTCCCTCTTTTGTCTAAAGATTTAGGTTTTTGGCGAAAGTAATCGGCCCATATGGTTGTACAAAAATGGCCATAGTGATTTTAAGAGATATTTGGTTACAAGTAAAGCATTTACTGCATACATAATTGAAGTAAATTCAGTTGAATGATTGTCTTAACTTCTACCGATTTAATGAGGTGGATGGAGGAACTGAAAGCTTCCTTGGTATAATGAAAGTATGGAAACTTTGCACCAAAAAAAGGGATAATTACATGTACACCACCCGAAATATTGATTTTTACAAATTAAACACTCAGGTGATGTTTTTGAACTACCGAACTGATGTATTTATGCGTGACATGATCAAACTATTTAGAATTTGATAAAAATGAAAAACATGGATTGGGGTTTTATCATAAATTTTGATATTTGAGTGAGAATTTGAAAATGAATGAAAGAGGGTGGTTGATTTGTATATAGCAAGTTTCGGGTGGTCTGTATGTAAGTTCTCTAAAAAATAAAAAATAAAAAAGGATACTTTTCACTCCATTGCCAATTTCATATTAGCCTCTGAAGCATAATAACTTTCATTTTGTTTTATGATTTTCATGAACTTTAAAGATACATGATTTTTTTTGGTAGTCGTTCTAAATAGCTTTTTTTATTATATGTTGTAAAACTGTTGGCAAATCTAGTATCGAAAAAAATTGTAATTTGATGAGATTATAAAATTGCATAGTTATTTGAAATCATTATGTCTAACAAAGATGTAAAATTCCATGATGTACTTGTCAATACTTCTATGGAAAACGCGGCAACAACTAAATTTCGAATGTTTATCTGTTATCACCCCCAAATTGATGCACCCATTGTTATTAATAGGAGTATGCGAGATCATTACTTTGTGTGATTAAAGGGAGTACATACGGCTGCGATTATTATAGGTTGTTAATGTAGAGAACTTTTAAGATTTCATCAAGCTTCCTATTGAGTTTGCACAATCATTTGTGCAGCGTATGTAAAATTTTTATGAACATATTCATTAAAAATTAGCTGTTTGTTATAATAATTATAAGCTAGCTGCAATGTGGCTAGGAAACATGTGGAGGCATAACTTATAACACACAACACATTAATGCTATTTTAGAGACATCATGAAACGTTAAAGTTAAGAATAATTTATTGAAAATAATTTTATAAGAGAAAACATCCTTGTATAAAAAGATATCATCACTCTCATATGAATTTAACATAATATTGCTTTATAATATTAAAGATGTATGCTAAGATCTTGCACAAAATTAACTAAGTATCATATAACATTCATAATGGTATCATAATAGCTCATGACATTTTACAACTCTAGTGAAAGGCCATGGATTGTGGGATTAGAGAGGTGAACCAAGAAGTGGATGAAATGATTAAAATAAACTCAAGGTGGATATGATTGTGTTTTGATTATTAACTTCATGTAGTCGACCCCACGTAGTGGGATTAAGGCTTTGTTGTTGTTGTTTTTATATGCCAAATTTATATCAAACATCTTTGATCCATGATTTAATAGTTAAAAGTTATTCTTCATCCAATCTCTTAGTTGATGCATTCAAGAGTTCAACTTGAATAAAAAATGTCAATAAATTAACAAGTAAATCATGGATGAAGTTCAGAGGTGAAAAGAGAGTGGATGAATAATTTTAGGTCCTTTAGGATTATTAATTAAGGTTTGTGTAGTGCATGTGCTATTCCTTGAAAATGATTCCATAATTCATCGATAATATCTAATTATATTTATACTTTTTAAATTGTTTTATAGGTATTCATATCCATAAGCTAGAAATCAAAATAAAATGAGGGAGGAAAAGACAACACATTTTTGTTGAGGAACTTTTTGCGGAATTATCGAATGTCTATATGATTCGAAAAGAGGAGAGGAACATACAAAAAAGATGAATAGAGTATAAGAAGCATTTTGCAAAAAAGAATATTTACCATTTTTCTTGATAAATTAGAGAAAGAGGAGAAAATATATAATAAGCCCAAATTTAAAGCAGTGACACCTTCAAACAATTGTTAACAATACGACATACTTTATTCCTTGTCCAAACTATTAAAGATACTTGTTTGTAGAGCCATTTCGTAAGCATTTCGTACCATATTATCTTACAACACTTGAGCAGTGTGTTGCGAGATAAGATATATACCACCAGCCAGTTGATATATATATTTAAATCAAACAGGAGAACGATCGATGAAGCGAAAAATAGAACGAGTAAAATTCATACCAGAAAAGAACAGTAACACCACAGCGGAACACACAGATTTACGTGGTTCGGCAAATTGCCTATGTCCACGGAGTTGCTGAGGATTTTACTACTTAAGGAATTTACACCAGACGATCACCTTGACTTACAAGAGGAATCTCTCACTTCGTTGTTCTATCTTCTTCTCTCTCTACACCGAGATACACCGAAGAAACTCTACACCGAAATACACCGAAGAAGATAAGCTTACAAGAGAAATAAACTCATTTTTCTTCAGCCACAAGCCACCAAGAAGAAGCCAAGGGAGAATAATTTTCTTCTTCTTTGTTCTTCCTCTGCTGCAAGGAACTACTCCTCTTTGCACTTCTCTTCCTCTGTCCCAAGAAAGCCCGAAGAACTCTTCCTCTATCCCAAGGAAGTACGAAGAACTCTTCCTCTATCCCGAAGAAGTTTGAAGAAGACCACCAAAAATGTGACTTCAAAACTTTCTTCTCTTCTGTTCGCAACTTAAAGGAGACGGGAGGCGGGAACGGTTTGCGACAGCAGGGAGGCGTGACTCTTCGCGAAGCGGGACCAGGGAGCGGCGGTTATCGAGAAACCGCAAGTCGCGATCGCGACCTTCTCGATTGGGCGAGCGAGAGCGTGATCGACAGTTCGCGGGAGCGGTGGCGCCAATTTGCGAAACAGAAAGAGGGATCGGACTCTAGCGCTAACAATCTCCCACTTGGAGACTGATACACAAACTACAATGTCTTCTTCCTCGAATTGATATCCTCTACTGGCGGCGTCGCTCTTTTCTTCAAAGATGAATCCTCCACCATGAATCCTCCATGAATCCTCCACCTCTGAATCCTCTACCTTGAATCCTCTATCTTGAATCCTCCACCTCTGCAACTCAAAACCTTTGTCTTCACTCCAGAAGACCAACTGAAGCTGTGCACAACTTCAGTTTCTCAAGAGTAACACCCTCAGTCAACATATTAGCAGGGTCAACATAGCTTTGTACCTCCAAGCTATTTCCTGAATTTCTCCTCTCTGCTTACAATTCCCACTGCATGGGCAATATTCTGCATCTGCTGAAAACCTTTTTCAACAATTCTAGCCTTGTACCTCTTTCTGTCATCATGCTCAGTCTTCACCTGGTACACCCACTTGTTGTGTAATGTTTTCTTTCCTGGTGGAATTTCTGTCAGCTCCCACTTGCTCAAACTTTCATCTTGCAAGATTTCTTCATAACTATGTGGTTCTCCACCACCTAATTGTGGAATAATAGGAATGAGTGTCCCGGACCCACTCTCCTCTTCACTTTCATTATCAACAGAACTATGAATTGTCAGCAATAGTGCATCATGTACTTCTTCAGATACCATATTCACGCTATTACTCTTCATCTTTTTGAGATTCCTGCAGTTTCTCTTTATGTGTCCAGCCATGCCACAATTCCTGCAGGTTGTCTGCTGACCAGACTTTGATTTTGATCTCCCTTTATTTGAGTTCTTGTCCTGCCATCTCCCTTTGAAATCAACATTCAGTGCCGAACTCGAACCTGAGATCTCGCCAGAATCTTTTCTGCACATCTCCTCAGCCAAAATCAAATCACGAATATCATCACATTTCAGTTTAGATTTACATGCAGAACTATTAATTCCTATTCTCTCATGGCTTCCCAACTATTTGACAACGATGCCAACAATATCAGCGCACATATCTCATCATCAAAATCAATTTTAACAGACAACAATTGATTTGTGATAGTATTGAAATCATTCAGGTGTTGAGAAACAGAAACACCTTCCGCCATTTTCAAGTTGAATAACTTTTTTCATCAAGTATAACTTGTCATTCGCCGATGACTTTTCATACATACATGACAGGGCTGCAACGAGATCTGCAATCGTCATTTCCTTGACGACTTTGTGTGCAACGAACCTCGATAGGGTTAATCGAATAACCCCCAGAACTTGTCGATCCAACAAGTTCCATTCAGCCTCATCCATTCTTTCAGGTCTTTTCCTTAATAACGTAATAACGGAAGATGAAGAGATGAAGTTTCTTCTCATAGAGGTAGTCTTCTATTTGCATCCACTAATAATCAAAATCTGTGCCATGAAACTTCTCGATTTTTAAAACCTTAACTTCATCTGCAGTCATCATTCTTCCTCAGATCCGAAACCACGCTCTGATATCAGTTGTTGCGAGATAATATATATACCACCAGAGAGTTAATGTATATTTAAATTAAACAAGAGAACGATCGACGAAGCGAAAAATAGAACGAGAAAAATTCACACTATAAAAGAACAGTAACACCATAGCGGAACACACAGATTTACTTGGTTCGACAAATTGCATACGTCCATGGAGTTGCAGAGGATTTTACTACTTGAGAAATTTACACCAGTCGATCATCTCAACTTACAAGAGGAATCTTTCACTTCGTTGCTCTCTCTATTATTCTCTCTCTACACCGAGAAACACCGAAGAAGATAAAATTACAAGAGAAATAAACTCAATTTCTTTTCAGTCAGAAGCCACCAAGAAGAAGCTAAGGGAGAACAATCTTCTTCTTCTTTCTTCTTCCTCTGCTGCAAGGAACTACTCATCTTCGCACTTCTCTTCTTCTATCCCAAGGAAGCCCAAAGAACTCTTCCTCTATCCCGAGGAAGCACGAAGAACTCTTCTTCTATCCCGAGTAAGCCCGAAGAAAAACACCAAAAAATATGACTTCAAAACTTTCTTCTCTTTTGTTCGCAACCTAAAGGAGACGGGAGGCGGGAACGGTTCGCGACTGCAGGGAGGCGCAACTCTTCGCGAATCGGGACCAGGGAGCGGCGGTTATCGAGAAACTACAGGTTGCGATCGGGAGAGCGGGAGCGCTGGCGCCGATTCGCAAAACGGAGGGATCGGACTCCAGCGCTAACACAGTGTAAGTTATAAACCCTATATGTAAAAGAGGTTAAATATTTTTACTTCTTATGAATGTTCCATGTCACTTTAATTAGAAAGTATAATAAAAGTATTTACATGAGAGATCAACTTAACAACAAAAAGACTCATATTGTGCTATGCCTATTCTCTAATAAAGTTTTCTTATTTGTATTATCAATTAAAATATATCACGAAACCACACTGTGCACTATTCGTTATGCATCCTAGTGCATACATAGCATAGAACATAGGCTATTTTGTCTTGCCTTACTTTTTCATACAAATAGAGTACAAGTGTGATATGCTTTGCTATGGACTCTAATATGTGCTGTTGACATGCATGATGCTATGATAGTGGTTGTTTGAATCATAAAATCTTTCTATAGGGAACTTTAAGAAATTAATTGTACGAGTATGCACGTTTAAAACAACACGTGAGATGAATTTTTTGTACATTTGTCTTAATGAACCCTAAACCTTAAGACAGTGCACCGATCATTGTTGTCATCATCCTTTTTCCAAGGTGTTTAAGATTGGATTTACGTGGATCAGCAATTTTGGAGATAAATGAGAGCCTATTTATGTTACTTTTGTATTGCTGTTATGCTTTTTTTTGTGCTGAACTTGGATATATCTAATAATTAACATTTCAGTTTAATGAACATATTCATGTTCATAGGGAGTTAAATGTTTTTACGCAATTTTATATTCCTGTTCTGCCATGTCCCTTATATTATTCCCTGAGGTTTTGTTTGCTGAGTGGTATACTCAAGCTTTCACATTTTTAGTTTAGTCATATTTGTGAAAGTGTCTATTGTTTCTGTTTCGGTTGCTGCTTGGAGGTTTGCGTAGATAGAAGTTTGTTGTGTATTTTTTAACTTGATTTTGTTGCAGATTTTATGGTACTTTCTTTCATTCTGCTTCCTTTTGTTTTAAGATATTTTTTTCCATTTATTTTTGTATAAAGTTTGCATGGTAAATAATGTTGATTTTTTTTTAACATTTTAACTTTGATGATGATGGGTCATCTAGACATATGCTATCCTTCTTCAATGAAGATTGATTAGTGTTTTATATTTTTATTTATTTGCCCTAGTTGGTTGACTCTTCAACTTTAAAGAAAGAGGTTGTTGAGGGAGTTGACTTGATGGTAGTTAGAGAGCTTACTGGAGGTACATATTTTCTCTATTTTATTTTTACACTATATTTTCATGTAAAACATACTGTTTTTTATCTTCTTTTTTTTCCTATTCCAACTATTTGTGATTGGTTTTATGAAGCTTAGCTATCAGCTATCCATTCACGCATCTACATAATATGTTGACTCATTTTTTTGCAAATTGCTTTACATTTTCAATTCTATTCCATTAAACCTATTGTTTCACCTTATTAGGTAATCATTTGTTCTCTATTGTATTTGCATAAAACACCAAAAAATTTGCTTCAATTTTGTTTATCTTCAATAGTTGCTTCTTTTATTGTCGTTCTAATATATTGATTTATTATTTTATTTATTCTAATTTTTATTCCACATTCAACTTTCTATTTGTAAATTTGTGGCATTCAACTTAGTTATGAATTATCTTTTTTTTTAAATAATTATGAAATTCATTTATCCTTTAGTACTTTCGAGGCACTTCTTTGTTCTAATTATCTAATTTTAACTTTTGAAGTTATGCCCTAATTGTTTTTCACATCTTTCTTTTATAGATCCAAAATGCTTATGTTTATAACACCTTATAAAAGGTTCACAAGTAAGGATTATGTCCTATACTAACAAATATATCATGATTCTTCGTTTTGAATATTTTAAATATCTTCATATGTTTCTTTCATAATTGGAATTTATTTGCTCACTACCAAGTATATTTGATGCTAATCATCATTGTAGCTAATATATTTTATACAACTTCAAATTGTTTTCTATACTCATTTTATTTTTGATGTCCAATAATGGTTTTTGATCGCATGCTTTTTCAAAATCAATGAACACATATGAAGACCCTTTCAGTAATCTATATAATTATCTATTAAGCTCCTTGGTCTAAAAAGTGCATTTATAGGAGAGATCACCTTAGGAAGCTATAAATGTGAGTCTCTGATTCAACATTATTTTCTTAAACCAATATTTTATTATCCTCTCAATGAATTTTATTCTGTTATAATTTTCACAATAATGAACTTTTTTTTTTGTTTTTATATACAAGCACAAAACTATTTCGAATGTAACAATAAATATTTTTTTAGGATTTTATTAAAATGGTTCTTTTGTTAATATCTTTCATCACTACGAAAGTGTCAACAAATATTTTCCTTTTAAATTTAATTCTTCTTTATTTTTCTGTAGATCACACAGACTTCATGACTTCATATTGCTCTTTGAAGAACATTCTTATATTTTTCATTTAATAATTTCTTAAAATTGCTTTTTATCTTTAACTAAGCTTTTATTATACATAATCAAAGTCTCTATTTTTTGTTTACCATTTCATATGTGTTTTTCTCGTTCTCACCCCTAGCTTATTGTCTAAATCATTGAGAATTGTAGCTTTAAAAAAATAAAATAAAATACTATTCTTGTGATTAAAATTCTTAATAATATTATTCATTCTTGAATATCACATTTCCTTATAAACCACAGGTAATAGTATGTTCAATTGACCAATGGATGCTCCATAGGAAGGATTTACTATTTGTTTATCTTTTTAAAAACCAATAATGTTTGATTGTCAATTATTTGCTCGAGGTTGTTATAGGGATTTATTTTGGAGAACCTCGGGGATTTGGGACTAATGACAAGGGCGAGCACATTGGCTTCAATACTGAAGTATACTCTACATTTGAGGTACTTAAATTGGGATTTTTCTATAGATTGCCTTGGTTGTGAACACGTGATTGTTATAACAATATAGCTTTAAGATTACATGTAAATGCTTTGAAGGAAAACGAAAAAAAAAAAAAAAAAATGTAAATGCTTTTGACTTTGTAAAAAACTAGATTAGTTTTGAGATCAACCATCTGTGGATAAAATTTAAGTAATCTGTCTTTTTATATGTCTATGATTGAGCAAACTTAGATTCAAAGTTTGGTGTCATAATGGTTGTTATTCGTTTAAGGGTTTGACGATACACTATAATACATTAGTTTTATATTATTCAAAAAGAGTTTCAGTCTTTTGTGCCTTCATATGCCACAACGGCTTGTATTGATTATAACATAAGTGCAGTTTTAATCTGTAATGGGGTAGCAAATGTTATATAGAAAACATATATAGAGATTTTGAGTGTTAGATCAATTTTGATGCACTAAAAAAGTTATTATAACATCTTGACACATATCAAATTAACAATGAAAGATGAACATGTTATTTTAAGAAGTTATTGAATAAAAATTGTAAGAAATTTATTTGGAAGAGCATAGTGGATTAAATAATAAAGTAAACAATAGGAACAGGAAAGTTTTTGACTTGTTTGCTAAGTCATATTCGTCATCCTTTCTTACAAGGTGAAAATATAATTGGAGAGGATTGAGATGAGGATATGACTGTGGGCCCTACAAATTTGTGCTCTGACCTTCTTTGAAATGTCGAGAGTTTTACATGAAATTTCAGGTCAAATTTTTAGCATTTATATTAGGATTATAGATAAGACGCTATCTAGAGATTCCACCCTCATTTTATGGGGAGTTTTTTATCCGTATTTCAAGGTTTCATATAGCCATCTACTATTGTGATAGATAGCATCTTGTTGATTGACCAATTGTTGTTGCCTTCATTTGGTATTCTTTATATGAATTTATTTGTCGACCAACAATCACTTACGAGCTTTCTTAACAAGATTTTATTGATTATAGATTGATCGTATTGCACGCGTAGCTTTTGAGGTTGCTCGAAAGCGACGGAGCAAGCTGTGTTCGGTCGACAAAGCAAATGTTTTGGAGGTATCTTTCTACCTCTCTGCTTCTATTTATGCAATCATATTAAATCAAAAGCAAACCAAGAAATGAACATATAAAGATAACATTAAGGGAAAAGGCATGTTGTTTTATATTCAATTATTAATTAATAATGAATTGCATGTTAACAAATATTAAGTGCTTGCAAATTGCCAACCTCCTTTCTTCACTAATATTTTCTCTATTTTTCAAGTTTTTCTTAGCACACATGGGATGATTTATTTGAATATGTCTAGGCATCAATGTTTTGGAGGAAAAGAATCGGCGAAATTGCATCGGAATACACCGATGTAGAAATCTCTCACATGTATGTTGATAATGCAGCAATGCAATTGATTCGAGAACCAAGACAGGTTTCCCTCCATTTCAAATTTTATGGTGATTTATCTTAGGGGCATTTACATATTTGCCTCACAATTTTTATATATTTACATATCTAATACCTAAACATACATATTTATGTGCATACCACTCAAAACTTTAACATCAATTCAAAAATACCACCACCACTATATTTTTAAAAGTGAATACACCTTTTCATGCATAGATTTATGACACCAATGTGCTTTAAGTGTAAATATCAAATGTTGATTGTTAGATATGTAAATTCATAAGATTTGTGTGGTATGTATATAAATCCTTTTGTATTTTTTTCTTATTTTATAGAATGAACATATGCAGTGATTTGTTTAAAACTGACAAAACGTTAATTCTCTGTAGTTTGACACTATAGTCACTAACAACATATTTGGTGATATATTATCTGATGAGGCTTCCATGATCACCGGAAGCATTGGAATGCTTCCATCTGCCAGCGTCAGCGAATCGGTCTGTGAAAACATTTTTGTTCATCAAAATTTTCATTTGATATCAAAGAAATATATTTTTCTAACTTGACTGTTTGACCGTTTTAATTTATTTATTTCTCAGGGACCTGGTTTATTTGAACCAATTCATGGTTCAGCTCCCGATATCGCAGGGCAGGTTAAACTTTTGAATCATTTCTCATTTATACAACCTTTTACGAACTTAATTTGTAAAAAAATGAAGTTTTTTTTTTTCAAATTTTTGTTTGATTTGCAGGACAAGGCAAATCCATTAGCTACTGTGCTCAGCGCTGCAATGTTATTGCGATATGGTCTCGGCGAAGAGAATGCTGCGAGGAGGATTGAGGCTGCTGTGGTCGAAACGCTCAATAAAGGATTCCGGACCGGTGATATTTATTCTTCTGGAATGGTATTGGCTTTGTTTTAATTTACACATCAACTTCCTTTTTTGCAGGGGCATTTACATACATACTGCCCAACTCTTATATATTTACATATCCAACACCTAAACTTTAGTTTTTCCATTAACTCAAATCTTTCATGTCACATCCGTTTTAACTTCAATAATGTGAAATGTATATTTTCATGCATATATATGACGACATATATGTAAACATTGAAATTTAGGTGTTAGATATGTAAATACATAAGAATTGAGTGGTATGCATGCAAATCTTCCTTTTTTTTTTTTTTGTTGTTTTTGAAAACTGAGTTTGGTTAACAGAAACAAGGGCTCCTTTTTTGTGTTTTAAGGTGCTTGTGGGTTGTAAGAGAATGGGAGAGGAAGTACTGAAATCTGTGGATTCACAGAAGCCTGTTGGTGCCATAAGCTGAGATGAGCTGCTTACAGGTAATAAAAATGTGCTGGAAATAAACATATTCTGCATTTTTTTTTTTTCTATTCTTATTTATTTCTCTTTCTTTGGTAATATGAAAGATTTTTATTTAAATCTTTGGGTTTTTTACATATCAACCACACAAAACATTGAATATAACATTTTAACCAATCAAATTTTAAATATAATATTTCAATCATTTTTTTCATTGCAACCATCCTCTTTTACCCACTTGTAAAGGCTTTTAGTGAAAGTTTTGGGCAGTTAAAATGTTATATTTAAAATTTTCAGGGGTTAAAATGTTATATTTAAAATGTGGGTGGGTGGCTATAATATTATATTCAGTGTTTTTGGTGTTTGTCATGTAAAAACCTCCAAGTATTTATGTTCTTTTAGATATAAGAATTGTGTTAAAGATATGTGCTTAAAATGTTAAATTTTAGAACAATAATGTAGCTATTTAGTTGAAATTGATGCATGTTTCTAGAATAGTTGTCTCCCAAATTTTCTCAAGTAGTTATTCAACATAGCTTGCTTTTATGATTAATAGACTTGGTCCTATTTATGGAATAATTGATTCTGTTATAACTTTGAATTCATATATATATAAGAGGTTCTAGAACTACAAAAAAAAAATTAATAGGGGCATTTACATATATACCATCCGATTCCTATATGTCTACATATGTAATATCTAAACTTTATTTTTTTTACATTTATACCACCCAGAATTTTCATCACTTTAAAAATGCCACCATTTTGATTTGCTAAAAAGTGAAATGTACATTTTCATGCATATGTAAGATGGCATGCATGTAAAATTTGATGTTTAGATGTTGGATATGTAAATACATAGAACTTGAGGGGTATGCATTTAAAACTTCCAAAATCATATTATTAGTTTTAACACAAGCCACATTGACGTCAACTAATTCAAACAGAAATCTTTAATTGTTTCTTGTGTAACTGAAGGTCTTATTTATTTATTTTTTCATATAAATTATGAGAAAAAAGAAAAAAAAATTGATGAAACAATTAATAAAATATTTTTCTTTTATATATTCTAGCTTGAGTTATTTATTTTTAATAATTTGCAGACGTTTATTTCCCTATGCAGCTTAAATACTACTAGGGTCGTCAAAAAAGTTCGTTGTTTGCAAACAGTTTGTGTTCGGTTCGTTAATGGGTTCATTTTCGATTCGTTTGATAAGTAAACGAGATGAACGAGAATAATTTTTTTTCGTTCGGTTAGTTAAACGAATCAAATAAGAGCAGTGATGTGTTCGTTCGTGTTCAAACTGTTATTATTCGAAATGTAGAATAATTTAAAATAATTATATATAGAAAATTTATGATATTATAAAAATTAAATTTTATAAATTATTATATACAGTAAATTAATAATAATATATTAATATACTATATTAGTAATATACCAAAATAAATATTATATATTTATATAATATAAGTTATATATTAATATTATGGATGTCAAACTGTCTCGTCGTTTACGAACAGTTCGTGTTTGACTCATTCGTTAAGAAACAAACAACAACAATGACTTCACGAACAATTTCGAATACGAGTTTATTTCAAACAAATTATTCAAACGAACCAAACACGAAGACAAGTTCTACTTGTTCGTGTTCGATTTACTTACACCCCTAAATACTAAGATCGGGAAGTTTCGGTGGGCCTAAAAAATTTGTGCCCTGACCTTCGCATGCAAAAATATTGCGTCATTTCTTACGTAGAAATAAATAAAAAAATAACATATTAATTTATATGAAAAAAAAAAATAGTATGTACTTTCAAAATAAGTTGCACGGTCAATATGTTTTCTATGAATTAATGGTCAAGACTTGAGCCTTGATCACATGGGAGTGACCTTCGCACTTGACTGACTGAAAAGTTTGGAGGCTTTTATACGCATACCACCTAATTCCTATGTATTTACATTTGATATCTGAACTTTTCCTTTTTTTTTAAAAAAAAATTAAATATATGTTTTTCATGCATAAATAAGACGATTGTATATGTAAATATATAAGAGTTGAGTAGTATATATGTTTTTCATACATAGATAAGGCGATTATATATGTAAATATATAAGACAATTATATATGTAAATATATAAGAGTTGAGCGAAGTTAGACGTCATTAAATTATTATTTTTTAAAATGAATCAATTTATAAATATTTGTGCTATATGATATAGAATGAAAATAAACAATAATGTGGAGGGGGTGTTAATTAGAAGACGACAGCAAAAGATTAATAGTACAACGAAGAATTTCTCTTGATGTTCTTATAAACTCCTAAGAATCAATTTAGGTTCGTTTGGTGCGGTGGCAGTGTAGCATCACACCATAGTTTTGTTTCTTTAGATAAACTGTATTTTGACAGCTTTTTTAAAAAGCTATAGCTGAAATCTGTGCTTTCTAACCGATTCTGGTTGGGCGCAGTGGCATCTTTCTATTTGTGATCTGACTTTTTTCAAAAAAAAAAAAAAAATTAATAGGCATCTCAGCTTTTTGAACATCAGATTACTTTTCAGCAGTCTTTCAGTTGTTTTTTAATAAGTTGCAGTTACCCCAAACAGACCCTTAATCTTAAAGTGAATGAGTTGTACTACCTGTTTCAACAATGTGTACAATTTCAATTCTTCTAATTATTATGTTGTTAATAGATTTTATTTCTTTCTATTGAATGCGATATCTAAATAATAAATTTCGAGTTGGATTTGGGTTAGGGATCCACGTGTTTAAGTTTCTGGTTAGCTTTGGGTTAAACTGTCAACTCGAAATTGGACCGCCAACTTAAAACTGACCTGATATTAACTTAAAATTGACTCAAATTTTATTTGAATTTACTCCAATAGTTGTTATGTTTTATGTTAAAAGGATTATATGAGTAGAGTTAGCGTGAGGTTGAAGGTTGGTCGAGTTCGAGTTGGATTTTTGGACCCGTTTAATATTCAAGTTCGATTAAGGTTAAACAATATTTAGCAAGATTAGTATCGAGTCAAGTTTGAACGTGACTCGTGAACTCGATTTGACACCCATCTAAATCCATTCAACATTAATGTCTTATATGTATGTTCATTTCCCATAATAATAATAATAATAATAATAATAATATTTTGAATTATAACATTTTAACTACCCAAAATAATGAATATAATATTTTAATCACTTTTTGCACGAAGAGAATATTCTCTTATGCTAAAACAAATTTTTTTTTTATTTTTCTGTCACCTTCACGTGGCGTGATTTTATTGGACTCCAAATGTAATATTTGTTCCTCATATATAACACCAGTGTCTTCAATAATAAAACTTAGAGATTACAGTCTTAAATCATGACATATCTAAAATTTGTGAATAAATACACCTCAATTCCTATTTTTTTTACATAATATCTAACAATCAAATTTTACTTTCTATATTTACATCATTCAAAATTTTCATTTCTCAACAAAAATATCATTATTTTAACTGTTAAAAAAGTGATGTACATCTTTTCATTTCATAGGTAGTGATATGTCGATAAAAATTAGATTTTTGGTGTCTTATATAAATACATAGGAGTTGAGGGGTGTGCATGTAAGTATTATTTTACATAAAAATATTATATAGTCAATAAAATTTTTCCAGGTCAACCTATGGAAAAACACAAAAAAATTCTACGGGTTTCAGTTACGTAGCAAAGAATTTGTTGGCCCAATCAGATGAAAATTCAACCGATCCTAATTTCCAAAAAAGTCCAGCAAAACTTTTGAATTACTAATCTCATCCACTTAACGGTCCTCTATTTAAATCCCTAATGCCCCCCAACAGATTTCCATCAACCTCTCTCTCTCACACAAAACCAGCCATGGCTTTCAAACACATCTCTTTTATCTTCTTGATCTCACTCTTCTTCGCCGGCAATGGAACCCTCACCCTCGCCGCCCGCCGCTTGCTCGACACTCCAGCGGTGAAGCTTCCTCCTCTACCGAAACTCGCGTTTCCTCCTCTCCCGTGCGCATGGCCGCCGCTGCCCAATATTCCGAGCTTGCCGAAGCCGGAGCTTCCGCCGATGATCCCCGGCTTATCGATTCCTCCGAATCCTTTTCCATTTCCTCTGCCAAAGTGGTGGCCACTGCCGAACCCGGAGGCGGCGTCTCCGAAAGCTAGTCCACCAGCGATCGTCATAATGCCGACTCTTCCTAATCCTTTCATATTGTCGCCGCCGGCGACTAAATCATCGTCAGCCCCTGTGACTTCGCCACTCTTGCCGGAGCCAAGCCCTTCAGCCGTTCCAGCTTTTCCTCCGGCCATAATAGATGAGCTAGAATAGGAATTTGATCTCTCTTTCTCTCTCTCTCGCTATATATACAGTATTGTTTGGATAATTTTGGATCATTTTATTATATATAGTATAGTTGTATGTCTTGTATTGAAAATTTATCTTTGTATACACTTATTACTTATGCCTATAGAAATTTAATAAACCATGTTTGTGATTATGCATGCTTAATGGGTGTTATAGTTGTATGGGTCTAGAATTTTTTTAGTATTTTATATGTATGTATTTGTCCTCTAGCTGATGTTTGGCTTGGCGGACCGAAGGTTACTTGACTCAAGGTTAGCTTGGTTGGTTGTACTTGGGGGGCCTGGGAACAGGGAGATGACCCCCATTAAGAAGGGTCTAGAATATTTTTAGTATTTTATATGTATTTATTTGTCATCTAACCGATGTTTGGCTTGGTCGACTAAAGCTTAGTTGACTTGAGAGGTTAGCTTGCTCGATTGCACTTGGTTGGTATGGCCCGCAACTGATCCAACTTGGTTGACTATCCTTGATTCTTGATAGAGTTTGAGATACTTAATGGAATTTGGTCTTTTTTTTAGATGGACCCTACTGGGGGGCAGGCTTCCACCTCAAATCTGCTTTTTTATAGCGTTAGGCTTAAATTTTCTTTCATATAGTCTTCAATCGAATAACTCGTGTTTGGATCATTTGATCATCTTCTTGTTCGCCCTGTGGTACAGTTAGTTTTGTCCTAGTTGGCTTGGCTCATTTGGTCAGGTGACCCTCACAATCTCCTCACACTCTTCTCCTCTACACCGTTCGACCTCTTTAGTTTTTATGTAGGGTGGATAAGTGCATAATCCTATTGAAAATATTTTAATTAAGAAAAATACAAGAACTTTAGAATATTATTTAAAGATTTCTTTATTAAATAGATATTCTTTAGGTCTAGAGTTTAAGAATCTTAAATATTTATTTAGAAATTCAAATATGAGATGGTTTTGCATTAAATCATTGTCTAATGATAATTTATGTACTTCACCATCATAGTGAGGATTTCTTCTATTTATGTTAGAAATTAATGATGCTTAGGCGCTAAAAAAGCTGAAATTTAGTTGCTCCATGACGCTGTATACGTTTATACTTTTATTGAATTGTATGACCAAAGCAAAATATTTTTCTTAGAAACTAGTTTTGAGTCGCTTAAAGCCATTCGATTAGCTTGGAATGAGTACTGTAATAATAAGAAGTTATTGAGTTTATTTAGGAAAGAATTTAATGACTTTAAAATTCTTCCTAATAAAAAAATAGAACATTTACATACATACCATGTATTTTCACATCTAGCACGTTAATTTTGATTTTTTATATTTATACCACTCAAAATCTTCCATATCTCATTAAATTCTAACTACTTTAGTTTTAAAAAGTGAAATGAGCATTTTCAGTCATTGATTGATAAGGTGTTTTATATCTAAAAATTTAAATTTAGGTGTTATATATAATAATTATTATTATTATAAAGACTTATAGCTTTTCAAATTATGATTTTAAGTTAATTTTTAATTATTTGGGTTGAATTAAATTAGCACCTAGTAGATTTTTTTGAACTATTGAACCAATGCATTTTTTACATGCCACAATCAAATCATTGAGAATACAATAAAAATGAAAAAAATGGGTGAGAATTTGAAGAATGGATGAAAAATATAATGTTTGATTTGCAATATTTCGGTCCATATAGGGCTTCTTTTTAACCCAAATCATAACAAAAACTAAGCCCAAATTTTTAGAGCGCATGGATGTGACGAGCAAATGGGCCGAAGATTTTTAGATACCAAATCAAAAAGCATGTTATAACAATTTTTATCAGGGGCATTTACATACCACCAAATTCCTAGGTATTTACATATCCAACATCTAGCTTTACATTATTACTACGTTTATGTCGTCTAAATCTTTCATATTACATAAAAAAACAAATTTAAATTTTGATGATAACAAAATTATGGTCAGTCATAAAAATACATTATAAATGAAAAATATAATCTTGGCGTTAAAATGTTCTCCTAAAGGCTGAATCGCCCTCAATTCTTTATAAACAATTGGAAGGTGGAGACAAATAATGTTAAGGGTAAAAATGGAAGTATAAATCGAGTTGGCTCAAACTCTACTCATTAACAACCTCACATGTCAAGATTATCGAGCCATGCACTCAAGTCCAAGCTCAAGCTCTTCTCAAGTCATCAATGTTCTCCAGTAAACTCGCCAGCTCGCAATCATTGAGTGTCATCATTAATAGCTAAGGTCGAGTTAGGCATGAATCAAGCTTGGCTCAGGGTACACCGCTAGATAAAAGCCATTTCCTGTTTCTGAACTAATCAGAGCGTGGAGGGAAAATTATTTTATCCGAACTCCGGATGAGAGGACGAGGATGCAGCGAGGTAGACGAAGGTCTGTTGCCGCCCTCCGCCGGTGCATTGGGATGTAATAATTTCTCGAGTGAAGGAGGGCATCACAGTCCATAAAAGGAAATCATAGTGAGTGCAACCGTCAGAGCTCCAGCCGTCATCCACTGCGCAAAGCAGCGCTCCAGCTGCAGAAACACTGCACGCCATTTCCCACTTGCTGCTCCCCAATTTCCAATGCGATCCACAAAATTAAAAACAAATTAACAAATGAGCTCTGCTCGGTAATAAAACTTTATAATCGTACGAGCTGATGTAGACCATCTCGACCCAGGCCGTAAAGCAGAAATGACGGGTGGCTTACAGTGGCGAGTAGGGATGACCCCGCTAACGTCTGTCATATTATTGATGGGCTGAGCAATTTTGTTTTGGAGTGTGAATGATAGAAGATGTGGAGGAGGCTTTTATGATTTGGAATATAACCATTTAACATGAGATCCAGGACTGTTTGGTTGTATATATTATGGCAGAGAATTGGATGGAGCCTAAGGAGTCTGGCCATACCTATAATGAGGGAACCAATTGTTGCCTAATTCTTTCACGCACTTCTTCAGGGCCATCATGATGAAGTATAAAATACCAATCATATCTCATAACCAAGTAAAAATAAGAAACAACGCTAAATGACTTCAAAACCAAGACATGCATGTAGCATCGTCAAAAAAAGCATTTTGCAAATAGATCTGTTCTAATCATATATTAGAACAGCGTCGAGCATAAATAAATTTTTTAAACTCAAATTTTAAATAAAAAAATGATCTATGTTATTTATCTAATATTATATTATATATTTTATGTCTAAATATTAATCACAATAGATCATGTGGTCATGTGATTCTACATATGTTATTGTAGAATAGTGTAAGTTCCAATCCCAATTAAAAAAAGAACCAATTTCAAGTAGAGCACAAAGAATATGTAAATCAAGGTGAACACAAACAAACTATTCAAGAAAAATTATATATATATATATATTTATATA